GACAGGGCTTACCATTCACCATCTTTCCTTCCTCTGGAAAGGATGCTGAACAAGAAATCTATTCTCTTAACAAATTTTTAGACGTGCAATACAATATTGTTGGCTATAGTACAATATTGTAAAATAGATCTCTAGAGTTTATTATTCTTGCCTGACTGAAACTTTGTGCCTGTTTTACTAGGACTAAAATAATTTTTTAAAGTTTATTTATGTATTTTGAGAGAAAGAGAGAGAGCGAATGCCAGAGGGACAGAAAGACAAGAGAGAGAGAATTCCAAGTAGGTTCCACATTGTCAGCAGAGCCCATATAATAATAATCATGTATACATATAATCTATAATCATACATATATGTATATATACATATACATACATAAATATACATATATATGTATATATACATATACATACATAAATATACATATATATGTATATATATAAATTCTCTAGGTGGTATTAACCTGCCAAAAAAAGGTTATAAATTCCTTGTAAGACTCAAACTGAAAAGAGGCTCAAGGCTGACTATTCACACACAGCCTTTCTACTTGAGCCACTTAGACTAACTCAGAAGTGAGTAGAGGAAGGAAGGGAAAGATTTTAATTTTTTTTTTTTTTGAGAGAGAGATTAGTGTGAGCAGGAAGAGGCAGAGAGAGGAGGAGAAAGAATCTTAAGCAGATGTCATGCCCAATATGTAGCCGTCATGAAGCTTGATGCAGGGCTCGATCCCATGACCCTGAGATCATGACCTGAGCTGAAGTTAAAAGTCAGACACTTAACCAATCAAACCACCCAGGAGCCCCTGAAAGACAAGGATTTTAGAATGAGACACTGAATGCTTTGCTCACTGGGTTTGTTTTTCGCCTTCCCTCCCGTCTCCTGTGAGATCTAGTCCCTACCCTTGTCTGTGCCCTGGAAGTCTGAGCCCTAGGGAGCTCACCTAGGTTTGCTTGCAGGCTGGCTCCTGGCTCCGTTTGGTCCATAGGAGGCAGAGGAGATAGGAGGACTAGAGAAAAGCAAGGTCAGTGAGTTTCTTCTCTGCCCACTCCCTTGCTTTGTGTTCAGGTTTCGGAAGTGACTAATAGGGTCTCTCTCTGACCCCAGCTTCTTTGGGGTGGGTCCTCCTCCGTGGCTCCCACTCTCTCTCCAAGTCCTGGATACCCTCGTCCCCTCTCCGGTTGCCTATTCAGCCCTGAGGTAAGAATAGCCTCCACTGTGGCTAGCCACGGGTGACTCAACCCTTCCCCTCCCCCCCTTACTGCCTTCCTTCACCCTGTTCACACCTCTGTAACTAGTCCTTCGTTAAACTGTCTGCATCCAAACCATTTGAGATGTGTGTTTCCCACCAGGACCCCGAATAATTCCCTCACTAACTCACAAGCTGTGACATCTTGTTACAAGATGGGTGACTGAGTGCCAAGTTCCTGAATCTATAAATCGGCATTCAATGACGCAAGCATGGAGATGTAAAGTCCCCTCACTGAGGTCTTTTCCTCCTGCAATTGTCATGTTGTCTCAGGACCCTCTAGTCTTGTCAGAGACCTCATTCCTCCAAGGGAGAGGCAGGCACATCCCAGCATAAAGAAGGCAGTTCCATTTCTGCATGTTTATAAAAATTAGTACCAGACATGTGGTCTTGGAAGTTGGGGCTTCTGGGGCTTTTTAAGAGAAAGCTTCTTGAGTCAAAAAGACTCAAGGCCTGGCAGCCTTGAAGGATAGAGTTACTCCCATAAACCATAGTGCACAGTGATACAAGAGAACTTTTCCAAACCCAAAGCCGATCCAGGATGGCAGTAGGCAGCAGGGGAGAGGTGGGAGAGGACATGACCATCTTGGTGCTGGTCAGTTCCTGAAAAGGGACCACATACAAACCTCTGCCAAATCCAGCCCCAGAGGAGAACCGAGAGTCCTGGGGGAATTTTAGAGAGCCTACCCCCTACATTTCAGGTCAAGTCCATGAAAGCCAGCAGCCTACCAGCGTTCTCCTTCTCTGAGCTTATGAAACAGAAAGGACGATATGACATGGCTTATTTAGGAAGAGAGCACCCAACATAGATTCCCTCCTCTGAGGCACCCATGACCTCACAGCGGTGCAGGATGGGAATGTGAGTTTCCTGCATGCCCTTGAGAGGCATGACAGAGGAGGTCGGGGGATAGGACGGGATAAGGCTGGGATAAGGTAATGCAGAATGGACCTGGAGCCAGACAGCGGTGCGGACACTCACCAGTGGGTGTAAGTGGGCCACTTGCAAAGCTCAGATCAGCGTGGAACTCTAGAGAGACTGAGACATCTTCTCCCACCAAAACCTGACACCAGATCACCGCCGGGGCAGAGGGGAGGGGAGGTGGCTGGACTAGGTGTTTATCTGAAAGAGATTACACACAATCTAGAAATGGCCGAGTTTCCCTCGAAGTGGAGAGTTCCCATATTCTACCATCATCAGAATGTATAGAGTCAGAATTTGTTAAATTCAATTATAGAGAAATTAAGAGAGTTCTTTATTTTTTTTTCTGTCTAAGTTTATAACTAACTTCTACACACTACCCTCCATCTCTACAAGTGAGATTGGCACTGTCAATGCTCCTTTTTACTTTGTTTCAGGGCCAGCTGGATCCTGGAGTTGCTAAACGGGTGAGTCAGGAAGGGATCCTTGGGATAGGAGCACCGAATACCACGAGCCTGTGTGTGCACGTGTGTGTGTGTGTGTGTGTGACTGTGTGTGCGTAAGGAGTGGCCTTGTGTGTGTGCGTGCACACACGCATCCATATCGGGTCTTCAGTTTCACGCCAAACTAGAACAAACAGGTCTATTTTATATCATTTTTGTCTTTTCTTCTCTCGACACAAACCATCGACATTTGATTGATGACTTAAAGATATGAATTTGCAAGTACTGACCAAAAAAAGGTGGCTTTCCTAATGAATATTGTTGGCTCCTTTGAATGACATAACATATTTTGAAACTGGGGTAATAGAGGCCTTTAACTCCATGTTGTCAGATTATACTTGAAAATTTTCCTGCACTTCCCAGGCCACAATGCAAGAGAGGAGTGGCCCCCCCTTTCAGGGAAGGACATCTTTCAGGACAGAGAAAGACCATAGTTGGTGAAGACAATTCCGGGCTGCAAACCATTCTATCTGAGGGGATGCTGAGAAAACCATGGTACATAAGGAATAACCCAAAGATAGGAAACTTTACAAGGATCACAAAGGCAGTTCTCAAGTTCCAGAAGGGGAGTGGAAGACCGATTAGACTTTTTACATTCTCAGATGACAAAAAGTAAAACCTAAATTCAGTTTCTGGTGAAATTGCGTTTCATAGTGAGCAGAACACCATTCTTGGGACACCATTGAGGGGCGGGTAGCCTTGGTTGCGGGTCCTTTGGATCCTTTCATCCTCACCATTCTGTGATTTGATGAAATTCCCATGCTTAGTAAACTTAAACAGAACCATGACGGCTTTTTCCCCCTCCTTTTTACATTTTTTTTTTCCTGGCCTGTTAACAAAGATTTAATGACCTACTAATGCTTGAGGCACTCTTGAAAAACCACTGTCGGATTAGCACTTGGCTTTCAAAAAATTAATCTTTTTCTGGATTGTTTCTCCCAAGAAAGATGCACGGCTGTTTTTCTCTCCCCACGTCTGTTTTGGGAAGTGAGCTGGGGAGAGTCGGATTTGCCTGGTGTTGAGTCCCAGCTGAAACGTAACTCAGATGAAGGCTTTGTATGCTTTGTGCTTAGAATCAAGCTTTCTTCTCTAGCTTCCCAGTGATTGTGTTCCTCCTCCCAACCCTCACGGTTCCATCTTTGTTCCAGGAGAAGCATGGGGTAAGCTCCAAAGAGCTGTGGCCTCCAAGATTTCCCTTCCTGTCTGGATGTTGTGAGAAGCCTCAGTCATAGCAACCAGTAGGGGAACAGTTAGAGGGAGTCCGTGTTTCTAATTTGCCACAACAAATTATTCCTTAATCCAGTCCTCAACGTGGGCACATTTCAGTGGTTCCCAAATGGTTTAAAAAAAAGAGGGGATGGGGTAGAATTCTTATCTGGGTATACACAGTGGTATTTGCCGCATGATTTCTGGGTTTTGTAACTTCAGCAAAGGCAGAAGCTCTCCCTTGGAATGTCTTCCCCCTCTTTCCCAAACATCTAAATCCTGTTCATCCTTGAACATGACCGAGGAGTTTCCCTCAATCTCCCAGTTGGAGGAAATCTCATCTCCTTCCAGAATTGCCACACTGTGTTGCATACAAGCCTGTTGAGCATAAATTTCACCACGCATTGCTGTTGGTGTTGCTGTCTTCTCCACAAGATTGCTTAGCGCTCAACGGCATGGTGGTATTTATATCTGTCCCAGGGTGGTTGGATGTGATGCTTTGGCAGGTGGTGGGTAATTTGTGGAGGGCACAGATTAACAAATCCATTTTAACATGTTCACCCACCACAGTCTCCTTGTCAGAGGGAAGCACACTGTAGAACAGCCCCCAGAGCAGGAGAAAACTCTAATGAAGATAAACGAGTTAGATGCTTTGACACTTCAGAATAATTGTCACGGAACATAATGAACTTCATGGTTAGTTCTTACTCTAGAAAGTTTTATTTCCACGCTGCAAGGGCCAACTTGCTTTAAAATCAAAGTTGGGGGGCGCTTGGGTGGCTCAGTTGGTTAAGCAACTGACTCTAGATTTCAGCTCAGGTCATGATCTCACGGTTTGGGGGATTGAGCCCTATACTGAAAGTGTGGAGCCTGCTTGGGATTCTCTCCCTCTCTCCCTCTCTCTGTGCCTCTCCAGATCATGCACGCTCTTTCTCTCTAAAAGTAAATAAACTTAAAAATGAAATGAAGTGAAAGAAATAAAATAAAACAAAGTAAAATAAAATAAAAATTGAAGGTTTAAAAAGATCCAAAATAGACGCCATCTTGTTTATTTTTCCCTTGATGCACTTGGCCTCATCCCAGGCAGCTGTGGGTCTTTTGTAAATATTTAATACATTTCTGAAAAAGTTAAAGAAGGTAAGAATTAATTTTCACGTATGTTATCCCCACGTAGAAGCCATGCCAATCCTTTCTGTGTTGTTCCGATTTTAGTATATGGGCTGCCTAAGTGAGCACTCATTTTAATGCACGTTTGACTCCACGTGATGCCAAAGTGTCAGTAATTTTACTTCTTAATCATTAGTATAGTTTTGGTTGAGAGGATTAAAGACATGAAACTGAAAAGCAGGCAGACGTTTTGGTTACTAGTAGTTTAGAAATATGACAGAGGCAGTATCAAAAAAAAAATAAGTGTACCAACAAAATTGTGGTTGATTCTGTGGCCTTATATAAACATAGCTAAGTAGAATTGTTCTAGTGAATAATGGATGTGGGGTGATGGCCATCTACTGTTTAATGGCTTTCAAACTAACGTTTAAAGGGAAATGAGTGGTTTATATCAGAATCCAAATCATAGAGTTCTCAGCCAATAGTATATATATGAGTGTTGATCTTGGATTGGTGATGATAGTACATTAACAAGAAGGCTGAAATATTATATTATCTTTGTGGGTTAAATAAATAGATTTACACAGCGAATCTTTTTTTGTGTGGAATAGTAAGAGTAATATTATATATGGATAGTGAGGAAGACATTCCATTTAGAATCTAGAGAACTGGATCATTTTCTTGGCCCTGTAATGAACTAGCTCCCTCCTCTGGAAACCTCCAATGTTGTCCAGCCATAGTACTTGCAACTTTATTATAGTTGCATAAATGTTTTTACTTCATTAGCTTTTCAAGGTCGGAGGTTTTCTTGTTTATTTTTGAATTCCCAGTAATTATCAGAGTGTCAGGAGTGTGAGTGCCCAAAACATATTCAGGGAATGAATTGAAATGGAGGGGTCTGATAAAATCATTAATTTCTGCTTCTGAGGTTCTGAGATTCTCAAGATCACAGACATTCAACACCCATGTAATTTAAACTGTGTTCAAAGATTTTCAGGGGGAAACTACAGAGGGTCATTGGTTCAGTTTCTCCCCTCCCAGGTGAAGAGTATAGCAATTCAGTCTATGAGCTTTACGGACAACAGTACAAACCATCAGAGAGAAACACCTATAGGTTTGTAGTATGAAAAGTATAACCTCGGAGTGCTTGGGTTGAGTGTGTCTTGATTTTGGCTCAGGTCATGATCCCAGGGTCGTGGGTTCGAGTTCCATTGCATGCTGAGGGTGGAGCCTGCTTGACAGTCTCTCTCTCTCTCTCTCTCTCTCTCTCTCTCCCCCCTTCTGTACTCTCCCTGCTCTCTCACTCTCTCTCTTTCTCTCTCTCTAAAAAAGAAAAAAAAGAACCTCAACCTAACAGTACCCAGCTCATCTTTTTTCCTCGGCATCATAGGCTGTGATACATGTTCCTGCGAGTTGTGACACCTTCCTGCCTACTCTACCTTCTTTCAGATATTAAGATTCTCCTTCTCGACTTGGCCGATCCAAGTACTATTGGTTTTATCTTAAACATCCTTACTATCTGTTCCACCTAAAAAAATAGTTTTTGATCCCATATCTTTATCCATTGCAACCATACTTCTTGAAAGAGTTGTCCATAGTTATGTCTCCACCTCTCTCCATCCACCCTCTCTATCCTTTTTAATCTACCATTTGTCTTCATCCTCTCAGTCACAGCAGCCCTTTCTAAACCCATGAGTGACTTATTGCTGAAATGAACAGATTTAGAGTTGCTTTTTTCTAGCCTTCTTTTCAGACTCATTCTCCTCAAAAATACCTGGAAAATTGGGAATTCCTTAAAATTCAATGTTAAGTCTAATTATCATCTCACTTTATATGCTTACTGTACTATTCCAAGGCTATGTTTCCTTTTTTAAATTTTTTTTTAATTTGAGAGAGAGAGCATAATTGGGGGAGGGGAGAGGTGGAGGAAGGAAGAGAGAGAGAGAAAAAGAGAGAGAGAGTCATAAACAGGCTCCATGCTCAGCTGGAGCCAGACTCCGGGCTTGATCCCACAACCTGGGATCATAACCTGAGCCAAAATCAAAAGTCAGATGCTCAACCAACTGAGCCACCCAGGCACCCCTCCAAGCCCATGTTTTCAATTGTTTCATAAATGACTCTTCAATTTATAGTTCCAGCCCAGCTCAAATTCTATTTCCACCATAACTGTTTAACCTTGAGAAAATGCCTCAACTTGCCCCACCCAAATACTAAGCCTTATCTATCTATCTATCTATCTATCTACCTTTCTATCTATCTAGTATCTATCTCTATCACATCTATCTATTTATCTATCTATCTATCTACCTATCTATCTAGCCAGCCAGCCAGCCATCATCTATATCTATATCTATCTATCTATCTATCTATCTATCACTTAAATCTATCTATCATCTATCTGTATTTGTCTGTCAATATCTTGTCTTTGACATATGATTCTCATCAACTAAAATGCACAGTTCAGTGAGCTTTGACAAACATTAGACAAACACATGCATCCCTGTGGCCACCATCTTGATCAAGGTATAGAATGTTTCCATCACTCCTGGAAGTTTCCTCATGTCCCTTTCCAAGCAATACACACCCCTTTCTTGATTGATAGCACTATAGATTAGTTTTAATTGTTCGGGAACTTTATGTAAATTGAATTATACAATATGATTTTTATATCTTGTATTTATATATATTTTTGCCGGGATTCTTTACTCAGCATGTTTTTGAGACTTATACATGTCGTAACACATATAAGTGGCTCATTCTTTTTCTTTCTTTTTTTAAATCACTGGGTAGTATTCCTTTGTATGAATATATCACAATTTGTCCATCTGTTAGTGGATATGTGGGTTTTTTACAGTTTGGGGATATTATGACTAATTGTTCTATGAATATTGGTATGCAAGCCCCTTTTCTGTGGACATGCAATTTTCCCCTTCATTTTCTCATCAATGAACTGGGGCCCAAAATAATATCTACCTCTTACCATCTTCTAAGGACTCAATGAAAACATACCTTGAATCTGTAACATGATTCTTACCATTAATTCCATTGTTTCCCAAGTGTAACTGACACACAACTTTGCTAGGTGCCCAGAGAGAGTTAAGAGTTAACTCTCTCATTTGTCTACAAACAAAAAATCTAAAGCACATCATTTCAGACCGTCCTTTACTTGAGATCATTTGAACTACACAGATACTTACATTTGAATTATCTGGATAATGTCTGCAGCTCAAATTCAAACGTATTGAATTTTGAGTTAAACTCAAGTCACGCAAACACATGCAAAGTTGAAGGGCGTGCAAAACCAGTAATTGAGAGAGCCTGTTTATAAGAAGAACTAATACCAGCCTCATACAAGAAGCTCAGATAATTTTCTAGACTTAAAACGAATCTTACGGGATAATGTTTTGATAAGTTGAGTTGAAGTGAATTAGGGCCATGTGGGAGTATATTTTCCGTAAAAGAGACGTGAATGTTTAAATCTAATGGAAAAAAGATGCTGGTGGCAAATGCATTTAAAGCTCTGATAAGCTCACAACTTGTAACACTTGCATAAACACAAAGGCAAGTGCTGCTCAATGTCTCCCCAGTGGCTAGAATACTCCCTCTCATCTGCCCTTTCACTCATGGAGACAGGATAAATACCTACCTTCTGGGTTGGCAGCGGACTTTAGAGTGCCATAGGTCATCCTTTGGGTGACTTTTCAATTAACTGTCTCTGTCACTGTATCTATTCAATACATTCAACATCTAACATTCTTTTTTTTTTTTTTTAACATTTATTTATTTTTTGAGAGACAAAGAGAGTGTGGCCAGGGGAGAAGCAGAGAGAGAAGGGGAGACACACAGTTCGAAGCAGGCTCCAGGCTCTTAACTGTCAGCACAGAGCCTGACGCGGGGCTCGAACCCACGAACCGCGAGATCATGACCTGAGCCGAAGTCAGATGCTCAAATGACTGAGCCACCCAGGCGCCCCCCATTTCTTTACTTTTGGGATGACCCTGGTGAAAAGAATTACAGAAACTTACATTGTTCAATCTTGTATCCACTGCCTTGCTCTTGACTGAGAATTACTGGAAAAATCTGTTCTACATATACATATCTGAATGGGTTAAATGGGGTCTAATAAAAGTGAATTTTTTTATTAACTAAAAACGTATTTGTTTTATGCCTAACACAGATATTTAGGTTTGTTTCCTGTATTATATCCTTATAAGTAAGCATGTTTACCAAAAAAGCATTTTTCTGTGTGTCCTGTTATAGCCTTAGTCTTTCAGATGTAGAATTAGGGGAGTCACATTGTAGGAACTTGTCAAGGCTCCTGGTGCATATGACCAACTTGCCTTAAAATGCTTAGCATTTTTTAAACCCGTGCAGGATGGATATGACATATCATAGGCAACAGCTCTTAGAATAGGAATATCATGACTCATCCAGTCACTGGTAATGATTTTACACTGTTTTTAGCTTCTACTTCTCTGATTCACAATGAGGTTGAATAGTTTTCATGTTTACTGGTCATCCCACATAGGACAATATTTAGAAAGTCACCAATTTGTTCAATAAGTGTGTATAAGTCCTAGGATGGGAGCCAAAGAGTGAAAGCAACTTACATGGCCATCAACAGATGGATAAGATGTGGTATTTACACACAGCAGACTATTATTCGGCCCTAAACATGGATGAGGTGCTGATATACATTGCAACGTGGGTGGATCTTGTGAGCATTATGCCAAGTGGAAGAAGCCAGTGAGTCACAAAAGGTCACAGATCATGATTCCATTTATATGGACTATGGAGAAGAGGCAAATGCCTAGAAACAGAAAGTATACTGGTCGTTTCCCTGGCCTGTGGGAAGAGGACACTGGGGAGTTTTGTTAATGGGTATGGAGTTTATTTACGGCGTGATGAAAACATTCTGGAATTGGATAATGGCTTTGGCTGCATAACCGTGTGAATATAGTAAAAACCACTGAGCCCTTTAAAAACATGAATTTTGTAGTATGTGAATAATTTATCAATGTTTAAAAATTATTCTGTGCCAGGCATTAGGAAGGTTTGGGGGGATACCAGATGGATAAGATGGAGGCTATAGTTCATTAGAGGAAGATACCTGATTATCTAAGGGCACA